GACAAATCTAACAATGTAAATGAGTTATTGGTTAATGGCAGATCAATCTCTGATTCTACAACTATCACTAATGAATTTAATGATTATTTCATTAATATTGGGGCGAAACTAGCAGCAGAATATGATGATTCCTGCTCTAATTATTCCTGTTCTAATGATAATCAGCCCATAAATTATAATCAGCCCATAAATTATACGGGTAATCAATCATCAGATTCTCTAAAATTTTCTCCAATACTTGTTGATAATGTCATTTCAACTTTAAAAGCCTTAAAAACATGTAAAGCAACAGGTTTGGATCAAATTCCGGCTAAAATTTTAAAATTATCTGCCGACATATAGTTGCACCTTCGTTAAAGGTCCAGTTACACGTGCGATTTTTTCTCGCGCCGGCAACGCAACGGGTTAAATTTCATTGCGTTACTCGCGCGAGTGCTGAAATTGCCCGTGTAACATATCTGGCGCGGCAACGCAATTGCAACCCGATATTCTCGCCAATCGTTGCGGAAAGTTGAAATGCTTGAACTTTCGGCAACGATTGCCGAAAATATCGAATTACCAAGGCATTGTTTGAGCAGGAAACGCATGGGCTATTTTAAGATAGCCAATGAAATTCGCTTCTGTACGGACAGCGTGCTGTAGCGCTGCCAAATATCGAAGCGTTAAACAACACATTTCTGCTGGCTTGATTGATTCACACATTATTGTGTCTTTCTTGTAAAGCGTTTCAGATAGATTATCAACTATCTTTTTGAAATGATCAAAATCCATTCGCATAAATTTTTCAAATCCTGTTGTGTCGTGGGCAGCCAGATCGGGAAGAAGAAGTTGACCGAAATAACCTTTGTTTTTTCTCTCTAGAAGCCAGTGCCGGCTCCAAATACGTTTCTTTTCTTTAACCTCCTCGTCATCTTCTTCCAGCAAAAGCATTGTAGCTATGACCACAAGTTCTTTCTTCGACGTCATGTTGTTGTCAGTGACGTTTGTGCCCGGTTTTTTCATGCAAATGTTGCGACGCGGCTAAGTTATCATTGCTCGTGTCACCACTTCACTCGCGCGAGTAACGCAATGAAATTTAACCCGTTGCAAAGGCGTTGCGTTGCCGGCGCGAGAAGAAAATCGCACGTGTAACTGGACCTTAACATGCATTCATCTTTAATCTGTCACTTACAATAGGCATATATGTTGATGAATCGCATTGGAAACAAGCACGCGTAACACCAATTTATAAATCTGGAGATAAAAGGCTTTGTGAGAACTATCGACCAATTTCGGTATTACCGATAGTGAGCAAAGCCTTTGAGAAGGAAGTTTTCCGTCAAGTTTATACATACTTGTCTGCGGTGAACTCTATTGTCTAAATTTCAACATGGTTTTCGACCAAAACATTCAACTGTTACTGCCCTTATCCAGATGTGTGATGAGTGGTTAGAAAATTGAAAATTTGAATTGGGACAGTCATATTACATTGACATGCAAGAAAATAAGTGCAGCTATTGGCGTTAAGAGACGTATGAAACCTTTTGTTCCGATGCATACATTAGAATCTGTTTATAAAAGCTTGGTATTCAGCCGTACTTTGATTATTGTTCCCCTTCGTGGGATACTAGTGGCAAGTTGTTAAGCGATGAGCTCCAAAAATTTCAATCCCGGGCAGCGAGGGTTGTAACGGGTGCTAATTATGAGTCTCGGTTGGCTGATGTTCTTATCTCACTCTCGTGGGACACTCTTGAAAATAGACGTTCCGGTGCCAAGTCAGTATTGATGTATAAAATACTTAATAGGGAGCTTTAGATTTGACTACGAGTACGTGATTCGTGAAGCTAAACACATGCTGTATGCTTACGCCATCCCGTACTGACGCGAAAAAGTCGTAGCCGTCGCCCATCTGAGTACGAAATTGTGGAGAAACCTCGTAGTCCTCACGACGACTTTCAAAAAAAAACAAAGAGAGTTGACTTTTTTTGGTTTTTCAAAAATAATTTGTAGCATTTATATAGCGTTTATCCGGCGCAAATAATATGTTAGTGCTAAATATCTGGCCTGTTTTTAATGTTATGACTTATTTACACGTTTTGTAGGGGATTTTAGTCGGCAGGAGATTTAGTTTATGAAACTTTTTCTCTAGTTGTTGGTTTACTGTTATAAAAGCAACATTTGAATGGAAACGAAAACGACTACGGTAATTTCCTCGCACGCGATCAAATCTCCTACTCGTAGTCGTACTCGTAGTCAAATCTAAAGCTCCCTAATGACCACACTGCGCCGGCAGTGTGGTCATTAAGTCAAATTAAATGGGTCAAACTAATTACAATCTCCGCAATACTGCAACAGACCTTACATTACCTAAACCAAAAAGAGAATTTTTAAAAAAAGCTTTAAATATAGTTGTGCTTTGCCCTGGAATCAGCTCCCAAATGAAGCGAAACTAGCAAGTTCGCTTCACTCGTTAAAATTAAATGTTGAATAGTGACATGCATACATTTGTATATAGAAAAGTGTGTATATATAGTATTTAGATATAGTTATTTATTTATAAACAAATATAATACAAACATTTTTAATATTTAACACGCCCCTCATGGAAATCAGCCTCGAGTTGATGGGGCTAGCGTGTTCCTTTTTGTTAATTTTAAATAAAGTATTGCCTGCCTATTGCCTGCTTGCCTATAATTTGACTAATCCGTTTCTATCGTTGATAAAATAATACCTGCAAGCATTGATTTGTTCGCGCTATTCTGAGCAAAAATTCGGGCTTTTCCCGTTTTCCTCTGCGGAGGTTTCCTGCGGAGAGGTGTTAGCACCCTTTTGGGTAGGCTATACGTCATACACTTTAGTGCGAGGAAACGAGCTATATTATGTGACAAACTGCGATTTTAAGAAAAGAGGATACATAATATTCACAAAAGAACTTTCCTTGAGTTACTGCACTCGGTTTTAGACAGTAGATCTACAAGGTGTATAAAAAAAGTAGACAATTTTGAAATGGCTCTCAATTTCACAAATCTGTTCATTTCATAAAGTGTTTGATAAATATATAATGCCTATCACGCATGCTTAATTCATGTCTTTACTTAATTTGCATATTATTATTGTAAAAAAGTAGACCTTTTTAAAGTTAAAGTGCTTTTGAAGTTATGTGGGAACTGAACGGAATTACGTGGACATCTCGCGTGTGGGACACGCGAGCACATGGAATACTAATTATGTATGTAGCGGGAAAACAACAGCGAGAGCTTATCAGTATATTTTTTATATTCTAAGATTTTTAGTGATTTTTATTGTTAGTTGAGTGACTTTTTCGCAGATACATACCGGGGAGGCAGGTACTTTGCGAAACGTGGCACCTCCGAGACGGGATTTAGTGATGTTGTTATATTCGACGATTTTTCGGTGATTTTAAACGCGATTGTTTACGAATGGCAGACGCCAACGCGATGTCGACGTTCAACGTTAAATTAAAACAACTTCTGATGACATGCAAGCGAACTAAACGACAACTGGAAGCTTTAAAAGCGTTAACAAACGAGGTAGAAACATCGAGACGAGGCGTAGAAGCGTTGAAAATCGAGCAAAAAGTGAACGAGGACGAAGTCGCTA